GCATCGCGCGGGCGGTCGTGGCCGCAGGGATGGACTCGTCACCTGCGACGGAGTGGGCGAGCCCCGAGTACCGCACGACCCCTGTCCGCTTCTCGCGCTGGAGCGTCGCGAGCACGGAAAGCGTTCAGCCGCCGCCCATGACAGGCTCGCTCTTCCGGGGCACATACGGTCAGGTGATGATGGCGCTGCAAGCGGCTGGCTTGGAAACGGTACCATGCAAGGAGTCTGGCCTAGGTGAAGGTGAGTTCGCATCTTGATTTTGGCGTGAGAGGTTGCTGATGAGGGGATTATAGCGACTTGCCTTGGTGCGATGTTTGTGGCCAGACATACGACATCTGGCAAGGTGGAAATGAACAAACTAACCCTGTGGGCATGACTGTTGATTTATGTGGGCATCATTCATCTACAATCACATCGACATGCCCATCTAACTGTGGCTCATAGACGCGACCGAGTCGCGCACATCATATCTGAATCACTAACATTATCAATATTATACCATGCCGCCGAGGCAACAGTCCAGCAGACACAGCAGGCGCTGCCAGTGGCTTGCCAAGGCAATATACATTCCTTGTAGTCACTATGTTACTCAACTGCGGAGCAGATCATGTTCTTTGTATGCACCTCATGGAGACGTCGACCGTCGCACCATATGATGTGACCCCAATGAGATAGGCAATTCATGCATCCAGACAGGTTACTTCTGCGTAGCAGCGCGACGCCACATACGTCGTCGATTGACGTGAGTTGCCCAAGATGCTCCAAAGACATCATGAGCGTGATTCCATGCTCAACACCTCTGAACGTTCACCGACTTCTGAGAGGGCTGGACGTCCGGGACACAGGCGATAAACGTCTCAAGGAGTACGGGGTAAGTAGCCGTCGAGTGTCGCGGCAACGAGGGTGAGTAGCGAGATTAGATACTGTATTTGTAGAAGGTTACTGACACAACCGATCGTGGCGCACCATTTTGTGGATCGAGTGAGCGACAACGTAGTTGGCCAAAGTTGGTCTCGTTGCTCGTTCAGATGGCTGCTTGGCTACTGCACACCTCACGGCTTGCCAATCGCGACACGTATTGAGCAAGACGCGAGGTGCTCCTTGCGCAGGACCCGACTGGGGCGGCTTGGCCTAGAAGCGGATGGACCCTGTCTTCGCAAGTCTGTACGCGGCAGCTCCGAGAATCTCTTGTAGATTCTGATGACGGGTACTGGTGGCGACCGGCTCAGTTGGACACTTCACGAAGAGGGTCTCCCCCGTCGGGCTCAAACACTACGCTTACTGCGCTCAGGGTGCTCGACGAAAATAGAGATGAGCACGGGGGGAGCGCCGGCGCGTCTGAGCAGCATGTGGTAATATGTATTGGCTGTGCCTCCTGGGCCGCCGTACATGATGAGATGGAAGGCCTGCTGATGTTCCTTGGCAGCGGGGAGGCGGAGGATTGCAATTGCCCGAGAAGCTGTCATGCTTGACGCTACTGGACGGTACAAAGTTGTTTAGGATAGCTTAAGACGATAATGAGGTGACTCGTGCGTGATTTATCAATGTCGCCGCGCCGGGCATATTCGGGCCTGCGAGCATCGCGATCAGTCTTGATGGGCTCGAGCTGCCCGAGGATGGGATGCAGGCAGGGCGCGCGCGGGACGGCGAGAGGCTGCGATAGGCTCGCTAGGGCGAGCGAACCGTCTGCGGGTTCGAGTGCGCCGTCAATGTGCATCGCGGTTGGCTCACCGTCTGCAACGACCTGCGCACGCGCATTTAGCGATCGGTGGCGGGTTGGCCCGGATATGATTGCACCTTCCCAGGCGCCCTTGTCCTCCCGTCGGCCGGGGCGGGCATCAGACCTGGAGGATCTGAACGCGGCACATCTCATGCATGCACGCGACATAGCGCGGCTCGAGGGGGGCCTCGAACCCACCGCGAGGAGACGACCATTTTCGACAGCCTTCGCAGGAAATTTGGAGCCACCCAGATGGTGACTAGATCCAATTACGCTGCCGGTGTCGATGGCGACGTCCCTCTGTTGCGCTTGCTAGATCTCGAGGTGGGAGCTGCCTGCTGAGGTTGTGTTAGTCAAATTTCAACTTGATGTTTGTTTGTTTTCTTCATGAGTATTAGTTGGAGAGGCTGGACGTGCTGGCGGTCGTTGTTTCCATATTGAGCGATCAGGATCAGGGAGCGCCCAATGGGCAGCATGAGATACTTGGTGGCGCGCGGTGGCAAATCGCAAACCCGGATCGGTCACCACCGAATACCTCCACCGCCAAAACCTTTTCCTTGCATCTCGGCCGCGTAATGTGTACCTCTCCCCGCGAAGCCAGTCGGCTTGGGCGTGCACTCAACCGCTAGGTTCTATAAAACTCTCGGTCTTCCATTGCAACGACCACTTTCTGTCGCGGCGGGCAGACATGGCGGGCCCAAATCTTCACCTAGATCCCACTGTCGGCTGTCTCTTCATCGGTGTTCTATTCGCCATTCTGTGTGTTGCATTCTACCATACTCTTGTGTGCTGAATGTCTGACAAAGGGGGGAATTAGCTTCTACAGCTGTACCTGCGCGCAGACTCTGTTTTACTTTCGCACCTACCCTAATGACCGTCCGCTCCTTAAAGGCCTAGTATGTTTGCGGAACCACCTCGCGTTGAATGTGTGTGACTTACATGTAGCACCTCTAGGTCGCCTTCCTCAGGTCTGTAGTTCGGACGGCATACCGAAGATTGGACGCTCATGATAGTGTGGATTGACAGTGCTCTCGACTTGGTGACATTGATTCTTGATATCGAGGTGAGTCAGAGCGCGATCTGCTGCTATGTTCCATGTACTAAATCCGATGCAAAGTATCTTTGGGATGTCGTTATCACAAATCACGCCAATATCGCGGCACTAAATGCAGTCCCTACGTACGTCGCCGGCTCACTTTCTCCTGACCCCTGAGTTGACTCTTCCTTCAGCGTCTGGATTGTAAGCATGCAGTATCTCCGTTATGGAAGTTCCAACTAACATGACCAAAAGGTCGAGTTCTTCCTCGCAGTATGTATCATCTCTCATCCGAATTCTGAGCTTGCGCTAAAACTCTGCAGTCCTTGACATTCTTCCTAGTGCAATGGTGAGTGGATGAATCAGAGGTTCTTGCGACTCTCTGACCATCTCTTCAGCTACTTCATCAACAAGATTTGGGCTCGTAAGCATCTTGACTGTAGTTTTTCAGAGCGCTGTCGCTTATGCTTCTCAAGTCCTCGCCGGTAAATCATACCGTTACTGGCTGACAGGTGTCGTGGCGATCCTGGCACTCGCATGTTTCGGTATGTCTTCGCTTTCTCCTTATGCGCCATTGAGAAACTGAATGTTTGTACTAGCTGGCGGTGTCGGTGAGTTTATAATGAAGTTGATTTGTTGCTGCATCCGCTGAGGTTGACTTCCTCGAATAAAGGCGTCTGCTACATCTCGTGAGTACAAGGTCATTGACCACGCCTATACGGTACTGAATGAGACTTTTAGGTCACTGAACCACGGCTTGATGTTCATCTTGACGAAGGCCGAGATTCCGGCATGTCTTCAGCAAGTCGCCGCCGTCATCACAGATATCTACATCACCCTGTCTTTGTGTGTCGTCTTGCGTGGATCGCAATCCGGTTTCGAACGGTCGGTTGTCTGTTATGTGCTCATAAGACGTCGATCTGACTTGCGATATCAGCACAAAGACCCTTCTTGACAAGCTCACAATCTACGCCATTCACCGAGGTATCCTGACTGCGTAAGCATATTACTCAACAGATGGACAGCGAGTGACTTATAATCTTTATATTTAGTGCTGTTCAGTTGCTCCACTTCGCTACTGTAAGCTCCATCTTTGCTTCTTGCATGTACAACTGTTGACATTGCACCAGTATCTCGCCACCTACCACAACTCTTCGTTCATGTGGATGATCTTCCACATTCCCAGCACCAAAAGTAGGTCATACCAGAAAATTGGTAGGCGTGCCCTTACTCACGCTCCTGCCTCCTGCCTCCAGTCTACGTGAACTCGTTGCTTGCTGTGTACGTACAGTTATCTGTAAAATGCATCTCACAGTCACTTACCCTTCTGCAGGCTTAACGTTCGTCACCACCTGCGGGACGCAAAACCGACGGTTCAAGCGCAACGTTCCGTTGACTTTGTTGACCTCGAGAACTTCAGCAGTCGGTACACTTCCCCTGCGACTCGGTACGTACCGACCTATCTCGACGTGAGGCATCTGACTGACGTCTTTTACAGATCGCGCGGAGAGGTCCTCGGGCCAGCGTCGCACGCGCGCATCATGCTCACGAAGGAGGTCATCCGGGATGATGGCGATGCCCACTGAGCTTCATTGATTAGATTTGCTTTACGCCTTCCCCTCCCCGCTTCCCATGTCCCCCGTCTACGTTACACTCGCAGTAGATGCCTTCACTGCGCTGCGGCGCCTCGTCGACCGTTCCTGCCTGCCGCGGCGGACGGGTCCCCACGCCTGAGATACCACCGACAAAATAATGCTGGCGGCATGAGACGGCGGGCCGGTGCCGCACGGCGGACAGCTTCCAGCACGGCACGGCAGCATCCCTAGCATCATGATACCTTTGTGGACCGGATTGTGTTAGATTTATGGTAGCTTTGCAGTAGCTTTCGGGTCTAGGTGTAGGATGCAGTAATACTAGTCGTTCCCTTCGTCCTCCTCCATATGTTCTGTTCGTGCGCGCATTCAGACATATTGCACGAACCCTTGGCGCGGCTGCACCACCCAGGCCATGCATGCTTCAGCATGGTAAAACTTACGCATCACAGATCCGCAAGACGTGTGCTAACATGCAGGTAAATCTGTCGACCGCAAGTTCGACCAGTACATCTATCCTGAAGATCTCGTTCGAAAAATCTGAACTTTCATTGTAGTAGCTTTCGCCGGGCAATAAGAGGTGTATGATGAATCGAATCTCCGCCCTTTCTTCGCATCATATTGTCATCTGGGCATGCTCAAGTTCTATCGTGGACCCTTGGCGCAGCGGTAGCGCGTGAGATTCCAGTGCGTCGTGCTTACGTAAGCAATCACTGAGCATCCTCAAGGTCATCCGTTCAAATCGGGTAGGGTTCAGCTTTTTGGAAAGGTGAACTTTTGCATCGGCCGATGCGGAGGAAGATTGGGGAGACGTTGTGGCCGCGTGTTTAACCAAATTGGGACAGACACCACGTGGAAATCGGCGCGTCTCTTAAGCGCTCGTCTGGTTTGAATTCGCAGCAGCTCGCGATATGTGTGGCAGTGGTTGTGCAATTTGCACATAACTGACGTTTGTTTCGTACCCCGCCTCAGAACGCCCTGAGACAGCTTGGAGGTGTTGTATCAGAGATTGCAATGCCATACCTCGTGAGACATTTCGAGTGGTTCAGATCAGGATTGCTCGCGCGAGCAGTCAATCAATTATCTGTATGGATGACGAGCTATCCGGAGCCGCCCTCGTAGTCTAAGCAAGAACAAAGACAAGTAAAGGTATAAATAGACGAGCAACAGGAAGGTACAAGTACAGGGCTAAGGTTTATGGTAACAGCAGACTACACGAACACGAGCGTGGAACTCCCTGTATGGAGTCTTATGGAGTCCATGGCAGTTCTGAGTCGGCTGGGTGCAGGAGGGTGCCGGAAAGGGTTCCCACAGGCCACCGCGAATATCGGCTATTTGGTCCGAGCGCGAGCTTCAACTTGCTTGATTTTGTGGGCGGCGCGGGTGTCAAGGACAAGACACGGCGTGACGTCGAGCGTGATATTGGCGGCGGCGGCGGCGGTCCTAATGATGTGAACATGTCAGCTCATCTGGAATAGAATGGAGAAGTGAGGTAATCACTCACCAATGTTGTGTCAGCAACGAGACGCACTCTGCTCGTAATGAGGGGATCTGCACTACAGTGTGCAGCGTAGCTCAAGCCGATACAAGTGTATCAACCGGGGCCCCGCGCCTACGCCCCAGATGACAGACCGTGCATAGACCTGAAGCCTGCCACCGTCAGTTCCTTCGTACGCGCGGGCCACTTCCCTGCCTTGATCAGCCCTTTCTCCGTCGCGTGGAACTTCCAGTGTCGGCGCAGTGCGTCCGACCGTGACAATCCGCCTGCTGCCAACTCTGCAGTGTGCCTTCTCCGATTGACCAGCGCCCTGTCCGACGCGTACACACCCCGCGCGATGTCCTCCTTGCACGCCAGACAGACACTCGAGCCGCTGGTACCCACCCCGCACGTCTTCTTGTGCCTCTTGCGCTCGGTTTCCCTGCTGAACCGGGAGGTGCAGCCCGGCGCACCGCAGGGGAGCTCCCCCGTGCCCCTCTTCCTACGCTTGCTGACGGAAGCGTCCGCGTCGTCGTCTTCCTCCCGCGCACGCTTCGACTTCCGCCCCACAGTGGTCCCGTTGGCCGATGAGCCCTCCGCCGGCGGGAGAATGAGGGCGAGGGCGATCGTCGGAGGGTCGGTTGAAGGGGACCGCGAGAGTTCTGGGGTCGATGCGTACGAGGCGGCCCCGGACGGCGAGAGTCCGAGGCGGACGCCTGTCGGGAAGAGTGCCGACCCGCGCTCTGGGCTGTACGCCTGAGGCTAAAATCGAAGCTGTCGATCAGTAATAGTACGTTAGTGTAGTGAACGAACACGACGTACATAGTCGGAGAGCAGTGGATCCGTGCCCGGAGAGCTGATGATGGGGCCAGTGGTGCCCCAGTCATCGTCCAGTGCCGCGGCATAGTCCGCGTCGTCATATTGAGGAAACGGCGTGCTTTGGAAGCCCGCCGTTTCCAGCTTCAACGACCCGGAGTAACTCAGCAGAGCCTCGGGTTCGAAGGATCCGTCCTCCAGTAGGAGGCCAGGGCCGGCTGCAGGGTCTGCGGTGACCGAGCTGAGGTTAAGACCAAGGCTGTTGGTCTCGAAGCCAGAAGCTGTGGTAGTGTAGGAGTCCATGGCAAGATGTGTGCGTCTTGAGACGGCGTAGAAGAGTTGTCGCTAATCAAGAGATGCGGTAAAAAAGCGAGCTGTAGTCTCGGAGCGCGTCAGGCTAGTAAATATGCCGTCGAGTCCCGCACGTCGCCCTCTATATACTGGAGAACAGAGGATAATCCCACGAGCGCAGGATGACCTTCAATTGGCCGCTGGAGCATTGTGGACATTCAGACTCAGGCGGCCAATAAGATGCGTGCGAAAAGCTTGGGAAGCACGGGCTAGACGGAGTACCACAACGGCACAATGAGCAACGGCTAAAAAAGGGACCAGACAAGGTATCCATGAGCCCAGTGCTTGGCCGATGGGCTGGAAATGGACTAGAGCTGTACTCTCCTGAACAGGGAGCCGGGGATTGATGACTAGTTATTATTGAAGGTTGGCCGATGGAGGTTTCCCGAAATGTATGTCAGAAGGTTGGCCGATGGAGGTTTCCCGAAAGTATGCCATAACGAAACCCAGATGAGTTGGTTCTGATCACGATGGAGTTCTCAATTATCAGTTTTCAGTCCAGACTCCGCTCGAGACGGGTATCGTCCAGACGTCCCAGACGGCATACTAGGCAAGACGGAGCGCTCATGGATTCTGGTATCAAAGAAGAACAACTGCGGCAGATCCTCATGGCTCGCATGCATCAGTATCGCCAATCAAGATTCTATCCATCTTGGGCAGCAGACGGATGGCGCCGCGTCGGAGAGCGGACTGCTAGAAACGATTGTCTTGTTGTGTACGTCGTTGAAAGCAACAGCCAGGAGGGCGGTGGTTGCTGCTGATTGTGTCCCAATTAAAGGCACAATACAGGAGGATATCGCAGCGGATCTGACTCGGAGAAACCAAGTCCAACCGATAGCGTGGGTGTCTTGAAGCTGCCAGCGGCGAACGAGCCGTCACGCGTCATGCTCACAGATTAAGAGATCGTCCCGGAAGTCCGCAGGTCACCCAAGGAGAGAAGCTGAAGGCGTTTAAGATAGGCGTGATCTGATCAGGGAGGGGTGATTGAACCGGATGCTATCGCCGCGTTCCCACATGTGGCTGGGCGGATATTGAGTACGGACGTCTTCTGCCCATGTCTTCATGGTACTGTGGTCATGCATTATCTGATACATCCGTTGAGGAGGGGCAGGCGTGGTTGACGTAGTACACGCAGAAGCCGAGACGAAAGACAAGATGCACCTAGTTCAATTTCCAGTATCGCGAAAGAGGGTACCCGTGAACGACAGATGGAGTCAATATCACAATAGCATCTCAATCGACATTAATTGAGTACAGAGTCAACGTGTCGGAGAGAGAGCCATTAATGGACCCCAGTCATTGGACTAAGTCGGGAGTCAACCAGAGCCCCACGCGTCCGCGAGAAGCCGAGCACACGGGCGCTAATCGCACTAGACCTTGGCGCAGCGCGAGAAGTTGCCCGTCTGCCTCAGCCTTCTACCTCTCGTGCTACCGCTGCGCCATGCAGTGGTAGCGTGGAGCGCCAGGGCAGTAATGAGCGGAGACATGGATGCGCTGGCTCTGTGGCACACCACCCAAGCCATGCTGTAGTGGCACTCTGGTACTCGTGTTCTGCATTATGTCCAGATTCTCAAGGCATGCATCAGGATGCAGGTCAGGATCTCGGATAGTGTGTAATGCAACTTCAACGAGTACATCTGAATCCGTTGTACTTCAAAGCCTCAACAAACAGCTTCCATTTTTCGTACGGTGGCCAAGTCTTACATATCAAAAGCCGCACTGACTACACATATCATAAGCAAGAGCCACTGAATCCAAAGGAAATGCGAATTTGAGTGTTGTAGGGTAGAGTGTAGGACTGATGCATTGATCTGATCCTGTTACTTGTTGTTACATGAGCGAGTATTCAGGAGAACGAAGTAGTCATGGCTGACCTTGTATACAGTTCTATAAGTTGTGTCGAGTCGACCTCAACATCTTTGACGCTGCCTCGACGGGTGTTATCGTTCGTGATCGTGGCGTAAGCGTCGCGTATGTAGGAATTGAACGGAGGTTTGGGGTGAGTACCGGCGTCGGTATGGATGACGAGGTATCCGATGGGCAGGGATACCTCGGCCGTAGACCAGTAGCTGCCAAAAAACAAATCAATTATCATTGGGCTGACTGCGGGACGACTTGCGACTCACATATGAGTGGTGGACCCCAGCGTGCTCAGCGTCCAGAAGTCGAATGCGGGTGGCTTCGAAGCACCCCCAGTCGATTCGGACGCAGGCAGCAAGGCCTCAGTAGGAGGCCAAGGCCGTCGACCGGGAGGTCTGCTCTATGACCTCGCCAAGATACGCCGCAGCGTAAGTACCGGACATGTTTGAAGGGCATGTAGCCTGAGAATGTGGTTCGAAAGACAGCGGATAGCGAGACATGAGTAGATACCAAGGAGGCACGTTGGGAATGTATTCGTATCCCATTAGCACTCTCGCCGGCCAATTTATCATATTTAGCGGGGCATATCCGTCAGAAAGTCCACAGCGCTCAAAATATGTCCGCCGGCCAGTGTGGACAAGCTCACGGCTGAAAGCCAATAGGGACGTGCGAATGCTACGCGAAGTCTCATCCGGGCGGAGTACCACAACGGCACGATGGGCAGGCACGATTGCGACAGACGACGGCAGAACAACACATGCCAGATTCGTGTATTTGGATGGCAATTTTTGCGAAGATGGCAAGTGATGTAAGGCAAACAAATAACGGCCCACGACGAAGCCCTTGCATCAGACGCGTATGTGGTAGCCGACAACAGTATCCGGGGGTGCTGGGTGCTGATGCTGATATGAGGAAAATCTAATTCTGCGATGTTGCCAACCCTAAGAGGGTAGCAAGAATTAGACTCGCGGGAACCCCTGGCTCGACGGAGCGTCGACAGTCTCGAGGCCTGGAGAATTGTGGCTGCGGCAGATCGCCCAGGCCTCAGGTATCTGTCTTCTGATCTGGTCATTTATCGATTTACCCAGGAGTATTTAGCACATGGGTGCTGCCATAACAATCACCTTCACAAAATTGTGTCCTTCGTTTGTCTCCTTGAGCACCGAAGACAAAGTGAACGGCCTGAGCAGATCGCTGTCATTGTGCACCAGTTCGACGCACAATACGAGTATATACCCAGATGTGCGGATCA